TAAACACATAGAAGATTAATTTTTTAATTGTGTTAACACGAAAACATTTAATCAATGATACAAGAACCTAGACATCAAGACTATTAATATCGGATTTTTTGGGAAAAATATTAATATACGTTTATCACTTATTCACAATACAATGAATTTAAATTACACTCATATACGTTATAAGTATGAATTTCACACATGCAATCATACTTGATTTTTACATCATTTTTAGACAATTTACAGAAAATACGGAATTTTTTGGGTTTTTACGAAAGATACAAAGATTTTTTATTTAACCATACTTATGAACTCACCAACATTATATATGTTGAGTGTTTTCAAAATAACTTGTATTCTCAGGTAATCATTAAGCTGGAAGAATTGCAAGCATGTTTGGTTTTGTTTATGTAATATCACTTGTTGTATTTTGAACAATTTGAACTTACGTAATTTTACAATGTACTTGATGTAAACAATGCTGGTTGTATTATGTAATGTTGGTGATGAATGTGTTATGTTTCATGTATATTCATTGTGATGATTATCCAATTGTTAGTCACACGAGCCCTCAGACATTTACGCCGTCTGGTTCGAGAGTGTGACAATGCCACTTGTAGGTCACTTTTGATGGCTTTTTGAGTCAAAAACCCCTTGCATGTGCATAAAGTTTGGGACTTTACGTGTAAAATGGGCACTAGAAGGCCAGATCTATGGTTTTGGTGTGTTAAGACCCCTTTAGATCGACTGTATGGTGATGGTCAAGAGTGAACTCGGTGAGTCATTCATGGGACTCGAAAATTCGGAGCGGAACAACCATCAAATCCTTTATTCGAAGGACCAGTTGAGAGCAAGGAAGGTCCTTTAGTTGTTCAAGCTCATTAGAGGGCCTGGGAGTCATGGGACTCAACTAGTGCTTGGAGCAGGTTCGGCGAGTCCAAGGGAATCTCCTACGAACTCGACGAGTTGTTTATACAACTCCGTGAGTCGTAGACTGGACGTGTTCATAAGAAGGAGGTGGGCTCGATGAGTTCAAGGTGAACTCGACGAGTCTGATGAAGTTGGCCCTGATGGTATGATCGAAGAAGAACCCACCGAGTTCTTTCTAGACTCAACGAGCAGAGATGGGTATTTGCATCGAGTTGAGGGGTATGAACTCGACGAGTTGGTAGACCAACTCGGTGAGTCAGGTTAACTGGAAGTTGACTTTGACCAATGTTGACTTTGACTAGATGGGTATGACCTCCGTTGGGGTTACATACTCAAATGAATAACTTTGAAGTATTTTCGTGTATGGATCAAGGGGTCGTGGGTAGTTGTCTTGTATGCTAGAGATAGTTCAAACACTTCACGATATCGAGGTGAGTTGCCTTCCAGTAGGGGTGGGTCTAAGGCCAAAATGCCAACCCATCGTCAGGAGTATTTGGTGGATAATTGTCTCTGTGATAATTATCTTGGTATGTTTATGTCATAACGTCATGAGATATGTCTGTATAATATGCAATGTGTATCTTAGTGGCAGTAGTAGGGAATAGTTTTTCCTTAACATCGGTCGTTAGGATCGAAGGGTAGGTTAGTACCCCATATATGTCTGACTGTATGATTATATCTTCATATTGTATGATAGTAGTAGGGGTGAAATAGTCCTCGGTTACCGGTTGAAAGATATCGATCGCATGTACTAGTTGAAAGATACCGATGACGGTTATCGGTTGAAAGATACCGATGGCAGATACTGGTTGAAAGATACCGATGGTAGTTACCGGTTGAAAGATACAAATGATATGATACTGTATGCGGTACGATATGGGAACTCACTAAGCTTTGTGCTTATAGTTTTGGTTTTGGTTTTAGGTACCTCTTCGTAGAAGGGGAAGGAGTCGGCGGTGTAGCAGCGCATCATACACACACACATGGGTTCTGCATTGGGTTTCTGGGATTGTGCTCTGATTTTCATTACTTTTGATGTCATGGTTTGGGACACAATATTATGATTTTGTAATGTGATGCTTTATTGACAATGTTATGGTAAATGTTTTATAAATTATTAATTCAAAAATGAAATTTTTGGTCTCGAAATTTGGGATGTTACACTATGTGGCCAAATATGGACAGTGAACACAATAGTACGCTGGGAGTACATACACTGTATGTTGGGCATACATATTTATACGCTAAGCGTGCCACATGGCACGCTGGGCGTTCTTCCAGCCTCAAAGTTTGTGCCTCAAGCTTCATAAATTAATATCTTTCGTATACTTGCTCCTTTTTTTAGGTTCGTTATATCCACGCGTAGGTGAAATTATATTCTACAACTTTCGTTTAGACTCTGTCGGCAAATTCTAACTTTATTTTTATAGTTATATTTTAACAGGCCAAGACATGAGAAGTATGTTAAAAAATCATAACTTCTTCATCCGATGTCTGTTTTCGTATGTCTTTTGACCGTTAAACCACAATCGACAAGATGTTCGATTCTTGTTTAGCTTGTGTCGGCTGAAAATCACTCGATCTAAAATTCGAGTTTAGGGCTGCATACTGCTATACTAAATCTTAGAAAATTCATAACTTCCTCATAGGATGTCAGATTTGGACATTATTTTTATGCACGCTCTCGGCTTAACGTATACTACGGCTTTCATTTAGATTGCTAAGGCTAAAAAGCACTTTATCGTAAATTCACTTTTACGTCATACAGCATCGTGTCGGTTCTGTCACGAAACTTCGACAGGTCATAACTTCTTCGTTATAACTCGGATTTTGATATTCTTTATATCTCCGGCATCCTTGTTTCAACTACTACAACTTCCTTCATAGAGATCAGGTTTATCTAATATTTATTTACGATGCTTATTTTTATCTTTAATTTATAAAACACATAAATTCATATAATTCATTCTTATTACTTCAAAACGAGTTACAAATGTTGACCTAGACTATTGCATCATCAATAATGCCTAGCCTAGAAACACAGGCATTACTGTCGCTGCTAAAGGTGCGTCATCGCTAATGCTCTGTATTGCCACTAAAAGTGTAGCTGCTATTTATATGTATTTCTATACATACAAATATACATAAACATACATAATAAACATAAAAAATACAAATATACATACAAAAACACATACACATAATAAACATACAAAATATACATATACATAGAATTGAACATAAAAAAACAAATATACATACATTATATGCATTCAAAATACATATATACATAAATATGCACATACAAATACACATCCACATCTACAAACACAAAATACACATCCACAAAATCAAAATTCCGGTGAAAACAGTGGTGGTGGTGGTGGTATACTTCGGTGAGGATGGTAGGGTGATCTCCAAATTCCGGCAACCATCACAAATGCTAGAAATTTAGTAAGGAGAAGAGAAAATGAAAAGAAATGAGAAAATGGAGAAGATTGGTGAAATTGCAAAGATTTTGGTGAAAATCCGATGAAGTCGACAATAGTGAGCAGGGAGAAGAAGGAAAGCACAGACGATCGAGAAAGAAAGTGAGGACGAAGAGGATTTTATTGTCGACGACCTTTAGCGGCGACACCTACTGATTAGCGGTGACAAACTGGAGGGAAAACAACGCAGGTTTTTCTATGTCGTCGGATCAACGCTAAAATCGACGTATGAGATTGAAATGACGTGGCTCGCCAGCATAAGCCTTTAGTGGCGATAGGTGCTCTTTAGCAGCGATACACCGGAGGAAAATGACACAGGATTTCCTATGTGCTCATAGTCGTTGGATCATCACTTAAATCAACGGATAGGGTTGAAATGTCACGGATCGCCAACATAAGCCTTTAGCGGCGACACACACTTTTAGCGGCGACAAAAAACGTGTTTTTTCTTTGTCGCCGCTAAAAGTGACCGTCGCCTCTATTGCCGATTATTCTTTTAGCGACAGTGACTCAATCAATTTGGCTAGTAATAAGTGACGACTTATTTAGCTCGTCCTTGAGAGTCAAATCATTGGGTTTCATGTTGGTGATCTTATTGTCACTATTGCATTTTAAGTAACTGTAAATAATATGTGAGCTAAAGGGCTTCATAATTTTTACTCTAATATATGTACGGGGTTGTACGTAGTGCACACATGTATAAGATCGAATTAGAATCCGGTTCGACGAGTAGTCGGGGGTCCAGGGGAAGTGGCCCTAGGTCCAGGGTTTCCAAAGGGGTAGCGCCCCTAGCGGGGTCCAAGGGATAGAGCCCCTAACTGGGGTCCCGCTAAACCTCAGCGGGCGGGGTCGAGGGGTAGCGCCCCAAAACCTCACTGAATTTTACATATGGGAATATAATGAAAAATTCAATTTCTTGAGGGTGATTATGGTAAAACTAACGAAACTCATTAGTTTTGGTAACCCTAAATCTTCATTAAATCCAAATTAACATTACTTGCTTCCAAAGCAAGTAATGATGGCTCAACCCTAATCTCGTTTAATATATAAACAGTTCTTCTTCTTCAAAAGAGTGTTATGATCTTAAGCTTTCGTTTTTCATCATATTTTCACAAAATCTTCTAGTATATTGGTTTATGATTTCTGTACCTGGAATCGTAAGTATCCACTTGAATTATCCTAAGCTGGATTTCTTGTAACCCAGGTTGGTATCCAGATCTCCACCACAAACTCTAATCTTTCCTACATTTCATCCTATGAATCTCCTATATTTGATAATGTTAGATGATAACTATATCAATAGGTACATTTTGCACTGCATATATGTATCTTATACAAACAAGTTGTATCTAAAGAATTTGTTTCAATCAATAAAGATTTTGTTTCGAAGTATGTCACTGTCTTTACGACCAACGAGCTTATAAGTCCATCAAATTTCAGTGGGTTATTTGGTCCATAATGGTCCATTCAATTCATGAAAATATAACAAACTTTTATCCCAAGATTAGCCGTTTCATTCCTTATCAAATTCAATATTATCAACACTACGTAAGATTGTAATATCAGTTTATGCAATCATATTTAATGCACCAACCCTTTATACAAACAGACAAGTGGATAAAAAAAAGTGTTCTTGGGTCACATTGACCAATATTTAGCCGCATTAAAAGGTAGTGGTTTTGAGAAAATTATATTTTGCCTTCTTACCTAACTGATCATACAAGTTTTTTTGCAACTCTTATTCAAAAAACACCCAAAATGATCATATTATCAGAAGAGAATAAGATGAGATGCAAGGAGGCAAAGTTGTTAGGAGCAATTAATTGCTACAAGACTACATTTCTAACACACCACACTTCAAACAAAGAACTCAAAAAACCCTAAATCTGAAGAGTTTTAACTAAAAATCACTCAATAAGGTTTTAGTTTACTCAATAATCTTCAGTAAACTAGGCAAAGTCAATACCCGAACCCATAACCTTCGATGAATGGCGAAAAACACATTCTTTTATGTTGTCACCAAACCCCAAAGGATTTTACTAGGTTCGTTCTTGACTTCTTTCGTCAGTTTCAAAGGATAAGAGTAAACATCGCCTACCTAAATCCTCCATCACCTCATCCATTACATCGACCCTGCAAATCACACAGACTAGAGCAAAGTGTCAGAAAAATAACATTTGCGACAAAGGTTGTCACTAAACTAAGAAAAAGTGTCGCTAACTATGACAACAAATGGTCGCTAAGGAGGTCACATCATATCTACTTACTACAAGCGTCGCACCTTAACAACCAACCTTTTTTAAGTATTTACGAGTGATGATACTCATAGACATAGCTTAATCCGATTTATGAAAACGTTTTTCTACTTGTGAGATGAATGAATCTTGTTTTACTTGAAGGGAGGTTTAAACAAATATCTTTTCCCTAACAATAACGACACTTTTCTTCATAAAACACAGTTTGCGACAGTTTCTTACCATTAAAAAAACGATGATGATGGTTACGGATTCTCCGGAGCCACTGCGTTTTTGATCCTTTCAACAGTGCACTTAATAAGACTATTAACCGTTGCAACTGAGCCCAATGATAATTTTGCAGTAGGAACCGAATCGACTAGAATCTGAAATGCAACTGTGAGTAAAGAACCCCCATCTCCAACCTCTGGAATTCTTCCTCCTTGATGTTTTCCAGGTCCATCAGGAAGTATAGCAAAACCAGATGGTAGTAACGCAACATAATCAGGGTCACCTCCACTTAGCACCACGTTCATTGCTGCAATGTCTACTGGAGCATAGATGACATACGAACCCGTTGAATCATTTGAACTCTCCTGAAGTATGAGCATGTTCCCCTGGCTTGAATTCGCACTCTACAATACAATATAAGTCAAACATGAGTAGCCTTCTTCATTAGAGATTACAAAATATCCAAACTATCTTACTACTTTTAATGAATTTTAAAAGCTTACATTGACTCGTAGAAGCGACACACAGTTGCCTGGATCTCGACCGTTGGCAATATGTGCCATTTCTTGAACCAATCCACCGTTTGAAAGGATGTCCCACTGCATATAATTTTAACAACTATTCAATGAATATCGACATTATGTTAACACTGATCGAAACGTTTTTTCTTACTGAAAATCGAATATTGTTTGTTAACATTATCATCACGTTTTAAACGTTTTTAGGTTTTTGTTTGATGGAAGACAAGATTATTTAATTTACCTCACTCCTCGAATTTTCATCACGAAGAAAATCAAAAACTCGTTTTGGTGGAACAGGGATCCAGAATGATGTAGCAGCACTTAGCACAATACCAGGAGGCCTACCCGGATCATCCACACTTTTTCGGGTCATAACACGAACATCATCCGCCCCACTTCCAGATAAAGTCGTCCACGTATGCGTAGTCGATGCTCCAACACCGCTACAAAAACTCAACACCATCCTCTCAGCCAACTTCAACATACTCTTTCTCCCTTCTAGTGTCGTTATAACTGTCCAATATTGTTATAGCCACAATCATGCATTGATAAAATAAAATACTTATTTCTACCATTTTAACGTAAAATCCTAGCTAGTTAACTAATTAATTCTATTTGTGTATTAATTACCTCCAACGTCTCCTGCTGGAATATTGTTAGCCATAGCACTTGCGAGACGTTCACATTGTCTATCGAGAGTTGAGACCCAACGTCTTGCCCCAAATGCTAGACCAGAGTTCACTACTAACCGATATATATCATGAACAGCTCTATCATCGACTTCTACGTGTTCAATCCATGTAACCTAGAATACCAAAGTGAAACATGAACCTTAATAGTAATTCGTATATATACTTAGATTGGTAATTCGTGTTTTTTTTTTTTTTTTTGAATGATGAAAAGGTTAATAACGTGAACTAACCTTTGAGTACCCATTGGGGAGTTCTTGAATTAAACAACCGGATGGCCTTCTTCTAGATCTTGACATTGCAGAAGGGCGTAAGTTGTCCAAGGAAACATCGACTACAGCCCAGGTCCCATCGGCATGTTGTTTACAATACCTAACAAAATAGTACTCTCGGGTTGGAACGAGTGGCGATGGAACCTGATACTCAGCAGTCATCTGAAAAACATAAACGTTAGAATATCTGACTTCAAAATTTCTACAACAAATTAATTGAATCCATTAATTATTACATGTTATATAACACCCTAGATGTAACAATGTACATGTATTTTTACATTTATTGTATATAATTTTACATATTCTATAACTTACGAGATTATGATAGCGTACTAACTGAAAAACTAACAGATAGTAGAAAAGCGATAAAAAAATGATGTTCGGTATAACTAATGATAATTTAACTGAAATATATAAAATGACATAGATACACATTTGAAAGAATATGTTTCTTATAATTAATTAAGAAGTATGTTTGCAAATTATTAAAAAAATATATATTTTAAAAACTAGTATAAAAAGATTTTTAAAAAGCTAGAAGCTTATAAGAACTATCACGCGTAAGATTTTTAAAAAGCTAGCTGTCGCGCCTAAGTGTGAATAATTTTGTACATTCAACTTTCACTCTTCGCATGTTTATAGTTTGAAAGTTTAGTGCATAAGATTATATTTGTGTATAAAAATATAAAATTAAACTAGTAATTACCACTTGTAGTGCTCCATTGTAATTTCCAGCCACTCCAGTTGAAAGGACTTCAAGAGTCATAGCTCTTGAAACAATCCCAGAAAACACATTCGACCATTGATTCTGCAAAATCACGATATACGATTCAAGGTTTAAAATCATCTAAATTTTCAATTAGTCAATATTTTAATCTAAAAAGAGAGGGTTCTCCAATCTCCATACCACATCCATTAGAATTTCAACAAGATTGATATGATTCATGATGACAACAGCAGATTCTCTTGAAGCTTCAGATTTCAATCCCAACTGTTTGGGTCCAATGCCTCTAGGAAACGTCTGCGAGTAATCGTCTTCATTCAACGTTTCTGATGAGTTATCAGAGGTTGGAACCCACAATGGCTCACCAGATTGTGCCATTCTAACCAGCTCCTCCATGGCTGCAACCGCTAGTTCAATTATAACTGGCTTGTCCGCCTCACTGGGGCCTGAAACTGATCGGAGAAGGCTGCTGGTTCCAAACATGTCATCCACCATTACTGGTTGTGGACTAAAGCTTGCAATCGGTAGGTCAAGAGAGCGCGGTGGTCCATTTTGCGTTAGATTAGGGTAACTTAGCATTGGTTTCCCAACGTATTTTGCAGCAATTCCAGATATCCTATCAATCTGTGGAACGAAGAGGAACATGAAATATAGTTTCAGAAACCAGAGTTGTATCTAGGAAATTGAGAAATAGAATCGTGTTTAATTTTAGGGATTTGGGTTTTTAATTGATTTACTTCTTCACGGAGGCGAGCATTTTCGATTCTCAGATGTTGTTCATCGAATGACATCTCCCCGATGGCTGCCGGACCACCGCAGTTGGGACAGGTTGCATTGGTGAGGGCTTCTTTGTATCGTATGTTCTCCATTCGGAGCTTCTCATTCTCGTTCCTAAGGCTTGAGTTCTCATGGCGTTCATGTTGAGCCTAAATTAACAATACAAAAGGCAAAACTGAGCTGCTAGATATATATAAATTCACAATCCTTCAAATAGATATTAAATATACAGGACAATAGCAAATAGTATAAGTTATACGAAAACTGTCTATTCAATCGATCAGTCTATATTTTGAACATTTAAAAAAAAAAAAAAAAGATACATACGAGTCTATGGTGTCAACTACAAAATAAAATCAGGATAATTTTTTTGAGGGTTAATAATTAACTTTTTACAAATTTGTATTTCCCCAAGTACGTGCTCATTTTATCAAATATTTTTGTAACATATTTACTGATCAGACAACAATTCATCTTGATATCACCTAATGGAAATGAAGAAATATCGTTGCATAGTTTTAGTTAGTTAATGCTTAATTGATATAGGTCCATGAGTACATTTCTCAACCTAGAAGAACGAGTAGTATATATTTGATGCACTACATCGAATTGCCTTTTACTAAAAATGTGTGTCATGTAATCAGAATACCTTCATTTGAGTTCTTTTGTTTTGGAACCAAAACTTGACTTGCAAAGGCTCTAAGGTTAACCTTCTTCCAAGTTCCTTCCTTTGTTTATCATCTGGATGTGGGCATTCTTTAAAAAACCTACATTCAAGAAGCTAAGATCAAATATTTGTAAAAACATGAATACAAAAATCAAGATATCTTTAATGAAGTTACGATTCCAATTCTTGGATTTGATGTTGAGTGTGACGATGGTAACGTTTCTTCTTGTTGGGACGTTGATTGGGATCTTGATCATCGCCTGAGGGAGCTTCCATGATATCAGTCCCGGATTTACTCTCATAGTCATCATCTCTAAGCATATCAAGCTGATTTTCTGGGGACTTGTGGCTCATATCCAGAAGATGATGATGGTGGTGACCCTCAAACATGTTAGGCTGAAACATTGTTCCTTAATTCCTCACGCTCCTATCATAAAAGGTTTTACTTTAAACTAATTAATTATTCAAACTTAATCAATAAATAAAATATTAAAGTAAAAATAATTTAATTTTGAATACAAGAAGTATAAAGATAAACGTTAACTTATAATAAAAATAAAAATAGTTATGTTTTTATTTTTTAATACGAGCTTGACATTCGAAGTCAAATAGTATGTACGATATGTTTAATGATTAAAAGAATTAATAATGAATAGACAAAGTATAATAACTACAATAAATACAAGAAAACGTGTTTAAAGTGATTGTAAAATAAATATTAATTATACTTTTTTAAAATATAAGTTTGACACCAAGAGAAAAACAACAAGGAAATAATGGGACTAATTTACCTTCCATATTGTTCATTGATAAAGTTTTTGATATTTATTGAAAGAACGTTATAAAGATCTCGATCGTCTTTTTAGCAACATTTTTATGATCACAAAAAAAAAACATGGTTACATAATCAAAAAAGGTATGTATAACAATTATATACCAATACATACAACCTCTAAGTTATAAAACTTAAAAATATAACAAATACACATTAATGATATAATTAATAGAAAACGAAAGGACTGCCAATTAATTTTGTCTTGTACATATTGATGGTTTTATTTTGATATAGTTATGAGACATAAACTTTTAAATTAAATATAATAAACTATGAAATCAGTGAAGGAAAACATAGGAAATTTGGGTTGGATTATCGAAATTTGTACACACAAAAGGCATAAATGAATTTAATGGAGGTCAACAAATCTATATCTTTTTTGAAAACAAAAGTCAACTTTAAAGTATAAAAAAGTTGATACCAGTCTACATTTCTACACAATAATTTTTTTTTTCAAACTTTTCTAGAATTTTTTTTTTTTTGATAGGAGTTAACGGAATTAAAAAGAATTTATTAGCCACCGCTTGATAGTTATGAAGATGAAAAAAATAAATAGAACAGTGCGGGTAGCCTTCTGCCTAACCAATGCTTATCCAGTTTCTTGAAACAAGCTTAGAATTGTGAAATGACACCAAAGATTACAATTCTTTCGCATGTTCTTATCCGATCTGGCTCTCGGTCAAAGCTTAAATTAATATTACATAAACGATCTTGATGACTCTGATATATATCGAAGATATAAAAGAATTTAGTTCAAGACTTCTTAAGTGTGTTTTGGTTGTAGGTTTGGAAAAAACTAAGTAAACCAAAGATTATTGCATACCTTATCATTAAGAAACTCATGGTTTTGCAATCTGAGGGGTTGAATAAAATCAAACATCAAATTTCTTGCTTTTATGTTTAAGAAAATATGAAATATCTTAGCATCAAGGTACATGTTTTCATACACATTCAGAAACCCTAGCACATCACTAACCCTTCTTTCTCTCTCTAATGAAAGAGAGTTTTCTGGTCGGATTTGCTGCTGGTTTCAATTTGGTGAAGGATACTCGATCAACGATTTAGTTTTAAGAGTGAAAAAACAATCTTTAAAAGTTTGCTGAATTTTTAACAAATTAAATAGACTTATTTTCCAATCCAACTAACCCAAATGAATATGTTGAAGATATCTTCAAAAGAATAAAAGCATCAAATTTCATCACTTTCATACCAAACGTAGCTAATGAACCGTAGAAAGGCGTTATGGTAACTTACTGGACTTCTGACTTGATTTTGCAGGTTTTTTAGAGACAAAGATCGAGTATTCGGGGAAAGGGTCAACTAGAAACCACTTTTAGGAGAGTAAAAGATTGGTTTTCAGGCTGGTTTCCATTGAAGCTACCTGTATTTTTCTTGTGATAAGAATTTAAGAAGAATAAGGAGAGAGAGAGAGAGAGAGAGAGAGAGAGAGAGAGAGAGAGAGAGGAAAGGAACAGGTGGGAGAATTGAAGAGATGGGAGGGGGAGATAGAGAGGAGTAAATGCAGTGTAAAGAGAGGATGCAAACGCATTTATGGAGAAAGAGAGAGAGACTTGTTGCAAGCTGGTGCTCATTGCATCTCTCTCTCACACACTACTGTGTATAAATGGTAAAATATCAGTCAAATGAAAAAAATTTCGTTTAATATCATAAACTTTTTACTAATGCTTATATAATTAATCTTTTTATCGATGTTTATGTGATTATAGTTTTACACAAGAAATAGGGTTTTATTAAAACTTTTACCTAACAAAAACCGTGGCCAGCGTCAAAATCTTCTTTCGAACACGTTTAGCCGTTGCCCGTAGTTCCGCCGTGCAACGGTAACACCAAAGTGAATATGTTACGTTTCAACTAACTACCTCTCTCTTTCTCTCGAGCTCTCTATATGCAGAACAAAAAAAAAAAAAAAAACTTTGAAATGTCGCCGCTAAAGGCATACAGAGTCCCGACTATAGCCTTTAGCATTGACATGTGGTTGTTAATGGGTTGACATGATTAATTGTTTCGTTGTTAATGCTCATGTGATGCCACTAATAGTCTGGTCGAAATTGTTGTCACTTATATTATCTGGTGCCGCTAATGATATTGCAGCAAATGTTTTTCTTGAAATAAAACTATTTGTCTTGATTTTCTTTTAACAACAAAGACTTTATTAAAAATAGCAAGAAATTGGAATTACAGATTGTCTCTGTCGTTTCTCCCGTTATTTTGGATGTTTCTGTAGAGTTGGATAATTAAAGATCGAATTTTATCTGAATGTTTCCGCGGGCATCGGGTTTTGAAGAATAGCATTAACAGTTGTCTACAAAATAAGTATATAAGTTAAAACAACAAACTCTAAAAATGAAATCAGTACTTAACATTTAATTCACAAACACGTCAAGTCCTTACAAAACATAGCAAGCTATCAAACTATCAAATTCATAACTACCAAACTATAAAACTACCAAATGTATAGCAAATGCGCCAAGTCCTTAAGAATTTAATAAAGAATCAAACTATTTAGTTCATAACAATGCATTAGATTCTTAACAAGTTAACGAGCTTTCAATTTTACAATTTTTAACGGTTGGAAAACAGTAACATTTTAATTTTTTTAATACTTTTACCAATATAAATATAAACATCTAGCATTTCAAAAATCACACATTCTTTCATATTACATTCCATCTTTTTTCATGGCAAATACAAAAAAAGGTTCTAGCAAAGTCACAACAATCCTACAATCAATTTCGTCTTTCACCATAAAATATTGGTTATAATACATATGCCCGATTATGTGAATCGATTATGGGAACTCAATTCGAATATTTGTTGGAAACAAACGTCCAATGTCATAAATAATTAGTGTAACTTTAGGAATAATGACAAATTCATTTTTAAGTTGCCATCAGGAACTAATCTAGAAGTACAATAAATGAATGTTAATTGGTCAATAGTAGAAGAACGGAACATTCTACAATCCTATGTAGTGGACACTTTTAGGGGATTTCAAAAACCTTACCGAATCTATTCTAGTAACAGATAAGGCAATGATTTGAATCAGGATTAAATTTGATTTTTTAATTGATTCAAATAAGGGTTATCTTGTTACAACCATAAAGATATCAAGGGGCCAATGGCAATCCTTCTTGCGCCAAGCTACTCCCACTTGTGCCATAAGGGGTTCCTCTAGTACCATGGGGTACTCATGTTGTGCCATGGAGTATGTTGTTGCACCATGCATGTTCTTGTTGCGCCAAGATGGTGATGTGCTCCAACCTAGAAGTTCTTGTACTACACTTGAAGCCTCTTGTGCCATCCATATTCCTGTTGCACCATCATGGCGCAAGATGGCCATCTTGGTCCTTGACAAGCCAATTATGATATGAAGTCCTATATGATGATCAACATCGTTTATGGATGCTCAAAAGTTAGTATTCCTCAAGATTACACCGTGTTGTGCCACCATGATGGATGTTAGGCTACTAGTGGTCATGATGGGCGACTTGTACATCATGTTGCTCCACTATGACATGTGGTGCTCCATCATGTGTGTTGCTGATGCCCATGGGTTGTATGACATGGAAGAATATTCCAGAAGATTTTTCATGGCGGATTGTGATTGGTTGACACCTTTCATAGGCCTATGGGCCAATGGGCTTGGCCCATTAGGGTTTTAGGTTCGATCCCTCAAGTATAAATAGGGATGCATGCTAGGTCATTTTGTATCTTGTATCCTTAGTGAGTAGGTCTAATCTATGTGTAACTGTACTTGTAACCTCTTTTTGATAGCTCTAAAATAAGAATATTCTCCTCCTGTCCGTGGATGTAGGTCGCCTTGATCCAACAACGTAAACATTGTGTCTTGTGTGCTTATAATTTTTCTAGTTATCCGCATTACTTCCTAAGAAGATCATGAGAACTTGGCAAGTAGTATCAGATTTAATTTTTTATGTGTCTTGACAAGTATCGTCTCATTTCCTAACAAGTGACGATGTTCAAAAGTTAAAAATTTACTAATTCTAGAAACTCCCATAAGGGGAGACGGTTCTAACTTGTAAAACTGTAATTTTTTAAACAAATTTTTTTCATTTTAAAATCACATTAATCTCATCAACACATTTCACAAAATCCCGAAAATGTTAAATTATCAAAACACAAGTCCATAATAATAAAATCCAGGATCCTCAAAACGTAACTCCGTCTCGTGTGTACAATCAAGTCGGCGCCTTCCCGTGATCCTGAGAAGTACCTGAAACAAATAACACATAACACGGTAAGCATGAAGCTTAGTGAGTTCTCCAAAATACCACACATAACAGCCTCTCATGGCCATATCTTGAATAATACCCTCTGGTCAATGTGTCTCAGTGGAGCCCTCCGGTCCCACAGCTGAGGTGGACCCTCCGGTCCTAACTCAGTAAACTCAGAATAATACACAACATAAATCACATAGATATAATACAGGGTATCACAATACTCAATAAAACATACAAGACCCTCCGGTCACACAAAATTACCACTCAATGTAAGTATAGTGAGAAGACTCACCTTGTAAGTAAGCAAAGAGGTCGTGTACCCCTCGATCAGTCTTATCCCTACGTACATGTCATAAACACCTCTAATTAACAATCACAACTCTAAATAAACCAAACTGTTTTCTCTTTCTCTCTAACTCCTGGGAAGGGTAAAAGACCATTTTACCCCTCCATGGTCCCTATAATCCCTGTCTTGACCAAACCTTATAGTCAACAGAAGTCAACACTCGATTCAACAGTCCATGTTGACCTGACTCGTCGAGTGCATCTATGTGACTCGTCGAGTCCCCTTGCTCCTTCGGTAATGTCGCGAAAATCCAACTTAACTCGTCGAGTTGTCTCATCAACTCGTCTAGTTACTTATGTCCAGTGAAACATCCCAAAAATATGATCCAAAAACTTCATTTTAAAATCATTAATTAAACCATAATGTCTCAAATATCAAAACAGTATATCCATGTAGATCATATCAAAATGTTGTATTAAAAAGCATGCGTCAAAATATCAGAGTAAACATCCCATGCTAAAACATATTGGTGTGTGCAATGCAGTCATCCCGAGCTCTTCTCTTTGCAAATGGAAGTACCTGAAACAAAAACTAAAATGTAACACCCCGATTCTCGAATACCAATTTATGGTTATAAATTCTCATGAATCCAAGATCTGCTTGACGAGTTGGTTGCCTGACTCGTTGAGTAGCAGCAGGTTTAGGCCACGTGTTAAGTGACCAACTCACCGAGTCGGAAGAGTTACTCGACGAGTTGGAGATGGAGGGTGAAACCCTAATTTCTGGGGTTTAGCACCATGTTTAGGGGATCATTAGCCTCCCATAGTTCCTTTGCAGCATCTTGAGAGTTCATAAACCCTAATTCGTGTGTGTGCTCCATATTAGTGTAAATTGCAAGATTGGAAAGAAGACCTTGATGCAAGAAAATTGAAGATCAACAAGTTGGAGGGAAGAGTGTTTTGTGGGTCTGAAGTCTATCTAAGCTAGCTTCATTTGAGGTATCAATTCATGATCTTGGCCTCATTTCATTCTAGATCTCATTGATTAAAGTTTTGGGCTTTTCTAGCATATTGTGAAGCTATTTTGGGTATGAGTTCAGATCTAAAGTTCTAACTTCAGATCTGAACTCTCCTTGGTCTCTAAATCCATAAAGTTATCAGCTTGGGCAAGTATGAACCCCTCTTTAAGTGTAAAACCCAATTTCAAGCTTGGTTTTGGCATTTTGAGTCATTAGATCCTTGCATGCACGTAAAGTTTGCAATTTTACGTGATAAGCATGCCTTAGGAAGTTGGATCTGTAGTATGGAGCCTTAGCATGGCTTAAAAAGCATCTGTATGGATGAAGGACTGAAGGGACTCAGCGAGTCGCATGGTAGACTCGATGAGTCGCATGGTAGACTTGTCGAGTCACATGAAGATGGTCAAGAACTCGACGAGTTGGATGAACAACTCGGCGACTCCGATGAAGATTGCCTTGGGCTCGGCGAGTAGCATGGTGACTCAGCGAGTTGGCAAGTTATGAAAGGAACTCGGCAAGTAGTTGAGGGTACTCGACGAGTTGAGGTCAACATGGACTATTGACCTTGATAGTTGACTTTGACATTGACCAAGGGTTGACCGTTTTGACTTTTGAGGATAATTGGTAACCGGGTATTTATGAATTGGTTCTTTGATGGTTATAGGTGTTTGAGTTTGGGGCAGTGTTTCGGGAGCGTGATTTCGTGGTTCAGTCTGGCATTGCAAGGTGAGTTATCCTCACTGTATCATAGGGTCTACGACACTAAGGCCGTCCCTTAAGTTTTTATTGTTATGATGTGCTACATGTGGTTATGATCTTTTAGATCAGAATCAGGATAGACAGTATATTATGCTCTAATGATCCGTGGGTATTGGTATGTTAGTGACCTGTTGGGTCGGTACTCGAGTTACGAGAAT